CCTCCTCTGCCTCTCGGGCCATTACCGCGACCAAAAAATCCTCTTCCACGCATTCGCATACCTCTCGACCCAAAATCGTCTCTCATTGGTGGCCCAAAATCGTCTCTCATCGGTGGACCAAAATCGTCTCGAATTGGCGGACCAAAATCGTCTCGAATAGGCGGACCAAAATCATCTCTCATCGGCGGGCCATAATCGCTTCTCAGTGGAGGTCCGAATTCTTCGCGCATTGGTGGGCCATAACCTTCATCCATTACAGGGGGACCAAAATCGTCACGAGGGAAAAATTCTGGACCATCTCTTCCTCTTCCACGACCTGAACAAATYAACACCAACACTYTGATTAAGGTTTTTTAAATATTTATTTTAATTATAATTAATAATTTGTTACATTTAGCAATATAGAACAATTGTACGTGCTCTGCAAGTAAGCCACTCAAATGACTAAAATGAAGAGATTTACTGATATAAGAATCAATCAATCAACTATTATAGATAAATTATATGGAGAGAAAGATAAAACTATTTAGAACATAATAGTCCAGTAAAAGTACCTCGTCCTCGACCCCTTCTACCACCTCTGATAAATCTTTCTGGAGGTCCTTCATATCCGGGTGGTGGAAAATTAGAACTAAATCCGTCAATTCGATCAGGAGGAATTCCAAACCCTTCATCTCCAAACGAAGGACCTTGAACCAATAATTATATAATTAAAAAATTGATTTAAATTATTTGTTTGCAGTCTCACCTCTAAATGGAGGTTTATCAGGTGCAAAATGACACGGACCGTCAGGCCTAAAGGAGTCCGGTCCTTCAGGTCCAAAAGCGCCGAAAGAGCCTAATCCATCCCCATCAAATGATCTCGGTCCGCCAAAGCCGAATTCTTTAGAACCACCAGTTTCATATCTTTCTCGACCAAATTGCTTGGAATCTTGCAAATCAGAACCCAACTCAATTCCTCTTGACGAGGTCAATAACTGTAGACTATCTTCATTTTCATTGCATGGAGTAACTGATGATTCATTATTGCCTTGAGGTACTCCTTCGTTATTTAAATCAGCTGATTTATTATCGGGCGGACTTGGATTTCGTACTAAATCCGTGGATGATCTATCTTCTCGTCCGGTCTCAGGTGGTAAACTTGAAAAAATGTCTTCTGAAACTAAGAAAAGCTTTATTACTCCGATGCAAACAAAATAAGTAATATAGTAAGCACATTGCTGTTTGACTAAATATCGGTTGAATTTCTATCGTTCCTGAGTTCAGCTCAAAAACGTAATCATACATTATGTTGCATTTCGCCTTACCCATTAAAAGCGACTAGCACAGTCATTGGCGAAAGAGACTCAATTACATTAATAATAAAATTATAAATTCATCAAATATGTGGTATGAAATTGTAGCAATTTTTTTAATTTTTTCGTCAAATCT